GCTCACCGCAACCTCCACCTCCTGGGTTCAGGCAATTCTCCTGCCTCAGCCTCCTGAGTAGCTGGGATTACAGGCACGTGCCACCATGCCCAGCTAATGTTTTTCTGTCTTATTTGACTTTGGAACTCCTTTTTCTGTGAACACCCCCAAAAACAGTATTCAAAAAAATACTATTATGGAAACAGTTTATTTCCATCTTTCTAAATTAAAGGTTAATTCTTGCCTTTTAAGTATTTTTTGCCTCTTAAAGATGTTTTTCTCCAGTTTGTTATATAAGTTTGAAATATTTTTCTTGTGTATATGTAGGAGAAAATATATATATATTCCTATTTCTTTAAATATTTGAGTATTTAGATGTATAATAAATGCAAACATATAAATGCATATATATACACATGTGATACGTGATGTGTATTTAGGTACAGTACAAACATGAGGTTTTGTATTTTGCTGTATGTATTATGCATCCTTTAATGCCACCTCATCTAATATTTTCTCAATGGAGTCTTCCTTGACTACTTGTGGTAGAATTAATCTCTCATTTATGTTTATGCCCCAGTAGCACAAGGTGTGCACTTCTATTTACAATACTTCCTGTATTTATAATTATTCCCTGTTTTCCAGCCTAGAATAAATTATTCAAGGTCACAGAGGAACCAAGGTCACATCTTTGTATTGCTGTGATCTTAAAGCCTGGCCTATAGTAGGTGCTTGATAAGTATTTGTTGAATTGAGTTCAATAAATATCATGAAAATTAATTTTCAGGTTTATGATTTTGATGTTCTTAGACTATAGCTTTTTAAGTTTTATGATCATACTAAAGATGTTTTACATTTTTCTTGTAGGTTACTGTGTACAGCATGTATGTTTCTATAATGGCTTTCAATGCAAAGGTTAGTGATCCACTTATTGGAGGAACATACATGACCCTTTTAAATACCGTGTCCAATCTGGGAGGAAATTGGCCTTCTACAGTAGCTCTTTGGCTGGTAGATCCCCTCACAGTAAAAGAGTGTGTAGGAGCATCAAACCAGAATTGTCGAACACCTGATGCTGTTGAGGTAAGTATGTTTTAATTTTAGATAACATTAAGCTAATACTAAGATATTAATTTCTTTGTTTTGCCTCTAGAAGTACTATATCTTTTTAAAAATTTTTATCTGCCCATAGGTTCTGGTATAGAAATCTACATATATTTTTTTCTTTCACATCAAAACTGAGGATTATAATAATTCACATCAGCAAGACTAGTTTACTTAAAGGCACTTCTCAGTAGAGTAAAGGCGATCTCTCCTCCACCTTGAGGATCACTGTCCTACACAGCAGGCACTAGATAAATGCATAATTAATAGGTTAAGTTTTGTAGTGGTAGAAAAGGGGAATGTTCATTGGCTGTTCATATAACTAAACCTGAATAGTGACTGGTTTGTTTATAAATTCTTTCAAAGTGACATTAGTCTACTTCTAGAGTATCTGGACTGGAAATTTCTTCACATTACCAAATATGAAAGCTGCATGTTGAAAATAGGTATTCGGGCTGGGTGCAGTGGCTCATGCCTATAATCTTAGGACTTTGGAAGGCTGAGGTGGGTGGATTGCCTGAGCTCAGGAGTTCGAGACCAGCCTAGGCAACAGTGAAACCCCATCTCTACTAAAATATGAAAAATTAGCCAGCTGTGGTGGTGTATGCCCTAGTCCCAGCTACTCAGGAGGCTGAGGCAGATTTGCTAGAACCTGGCAGGAGGAGGTTGCAGTGAGCCGAGATGGCATCACTGCACTCCAGCCTGGGCAACAGATTGGGACTTCATCTCTAAAACAAAACAAAACACTCCAGCCTGGGCAACAGAGCAAGACTCCATCTCTAAAACAAACAAACAAACAAAAAAAAAAAAAAAAAAAAAAAAAAAAAAAAAAAAAAAAAATGAGTATTGTTTACAGCAAGAGCTGAAAATTATTTTTAATCCTGTTAGTGCATTAGAGAAATTAAGATACATTAACATATTTTGTCAGTGAAATTCTGAAATGTTTTAAGAAAAATATATTTTGATTAGAATTATTTGTAAAGTAGAAGCATGTTAATTGCTAAATACTTTCATTTTGAAATTGTAGATTTTTTATTATAGTTTTCTTTTTACAGCTTTGCAAAAAACTGGGTGGCTCATGTGTTACGGCCCTGGACGGTTATTACGTGGAGTCCATTATTTGTGTTTTCATTGGATTTGGTTGGTGGTTCTTTCTTGGACCAAAATTTAAAAAGTTACAGGATGAAGGATCATCTTCATGGAAGTGCAAAAGGAGCAATTGATGTATACACTACTGGACATTCTAGAAAGGTAATTGTAGTTTAGTTTCAATTCAAAGAGCAATGATAATCAGTGCGCAGTAGTATAAAATATTATTTTAAACAAAGAAATTATTAATATAAAATGCCAAATGGTTGAAAAAATAGAAATCTCTCTGTATATTTGATCGTGTTTTTCTTTGCCTTGTTGACTTATTTAAAGTTTACGTAAGGTCAGGAAATTCTAAAACCACTTTTTTGGTCTTGTTATTTGATTTATATCTTTTAAATTTACTGACCAAAGCATGTTTTAAGTTGCAGTGCAGTAGTTGTGGGTGGTAACCATATAGTCAAGTATTGTTACTAGTACTTGTCACTGAGCTACATTTAAAATTTTGGTATAATATATACAAGGGAGAAGAGCTTGATATTCAGGTACTAACCACAACTAGTCTGACATCGTTGGCAGTTAAAATCTTATTTTGAATTATAAATTAGTTAAATTTTATGTGCAATTTGCCGAGAAGAAAATTATAGACTACTGACATGTCATTTTAGTTATTTTTCTTATGACCACATTGTACAAATGAATCTGTGTTAAAAAGACTATTTTAAATGTATTTCCTGCTTTTGTAAGCATTAAAGATTTATAAGAAGATTATTCAAACTATTTTTTATAAAATGAAAGTTATGGTTTTTAAATTTATTGATTCCTCTTGCCTCTACCCCCTTTTGCCCCTACCCCCTCTTTTTTTAAGATATTTTGATTCCTTATAAACGTTTATCCTAAGCTTACATCTGTTTTCTGTCACAAGTGCTTTATGGCACACAGACAACTAATGGAAGGGATCAAATTGTGTTGTGTGTATGTTTATGGCAATGTTTTAAAAATAAAAATTATTCAAGTAGTTTTTTTTAATTACTGAGAGAAAAAAACAGTAAAGCTTTCTGATTAAGTAAAATTTAAATGGGCAGTACCATAATTTAAAAAACTAATATTTTAAAGAGAGAGAGACAAAGATATTTTGTGCCTTTGACAAATTAAATCTAATAGTGGAAAAATGTTTCTTAATTAAGCACTTTACTAGTGAAAAAGATCTCACAACTTAATGCCAAATCAGGTACTGTATTTTCATTTATTAACACATTACCTTTTGTTTGAATACTATAACGTGTACAGTTACTATTTCAAGACAATTATGCTTTTGAGTACTTTGGCAATTTCCAGCATATTATGTACACCCAGTGAGCAGGTTCTTTGCATGTTTTGTGTTATGTATTACTCTGACTCTTTAGAGATTATATAAATCCTTCAAAAATTAGAGGAAAACAAGATAGTTATGAGTCTTTATCGTTGTGGAAAAATGTGTGCTAACTCCTGATTTTGTTAATTTTATAACATAGGTTGAATTTTAGAGTGGGGTTTTTATAAGTAATGGAGGATACAATGGGTGGGAGAAAATGGCACACAGCATCTGAAGAAAGATAGGGGCATTGACCTCTAGAGCTCATACGTTGCCATTGGAAAGCCTGTGTTGGGCATCGATGTCAGATCCTGAAGAATCACCTGGAAAAAATCCCATCCTAGAGGCAAAGAGGCTACACCAAACCATAGACTACCGTACTTTGTCACATGGTTGTCCATTATTGTGTATTATAGTCAAAATGATTACTTGAATAAAGAAAAATCCCACTTGACTCTTAAATATGAGATGTGTTTTGAGTTTTAATTTTTGGATTAAGAAACTCAGATTGCCGTAATAACCTTTTATTCTTTTATTTCTTCCCATTTATATTAGAACTTTATATATATTTTCAAACAGTTTTTTTTTTTTTTTTTTTTTT